TCACTTTCTCCCAACCCATCTCCATACCCAATCCTCCCATCTTCATAGTTTTGCATATCCTCAAGGCATTGCATGCAGGAAATGTCTCTTCCCTTCTGTTTCACCTCAAGCCAAAGCTGAAGCAAGCTCAGGCTCCGATCTGGAAGACTTTAAACATCATTAAACTTTTAAGCCAGCCCATTGGGGCTCACTCTTTTGTAATTATGGATGCAGAAGGAAGGAGCAACATTCACCTGAGCAGGCATCAAGGAGATTCAAACACTTAATGGCTTTCCTAACCAAGCTCCCGCACCCACAGCGCTGTTTAAGAGGATGATGCTCGATAGCACTCCAGTGCTCTGCCCGGCAGATATACATAATTAAGCACTGCATTTCTCCATTGCCAACCCAGTTGGCCATGAGTGAGTCAGAGCCATCCTATCACACTGGAGACCACCAGTGCCCAGCCATGAGGGCCTCCACCCATGGCTTTGGCCAAGTCTGCAGAGACTATCTCTACTTCACACATTCTTTTGCAGGATTAAATATTTTTAGCAGAGCCAACAAGTGCTGAGCAGAAATGTCAACAATCAGAACACCCCTATGTATTCAGGATAGGGGCATCTAGAGGGAAAAAATGACAACCCTGCCTCTCTCTAATAAAAAATTGCTGTGTCTGAGAGCTGTTGTCAAGCTATCTCCTCTTTCCAAATTTTTCATCCCAAACACTTCCCTAAGCTTTCAATAGCAAAGACAGCACTCCAGCCTCCCTCTTCCTGCTCAGCTGCTCCAGGGCCAGGAGCTCTCAGCACACACAGGGTCTGGCAGCCGTGCCCGGAGGGGTTTGGGGCCGGGAGGCAGTGGTTCCCCGCAGGGATTTTCCACGGTGGCGGCGGAGGCGGAGGCCGGGAAGAGGACAATGGGCAGAGGAGCGATGGCCGCGTGAAAAAGCATTTGTTCCGCTGTCAAGGACAGAAAGCTCTCCCTGGGAGTGGTGCTCGGAAATGGAGCCCACGAGGGAAGGAGTGGGGAAGGGAGCAGCGAGAGATGGTGCAGCAGAGGATGGATGCAGTGGGGCAGGAGTGGTGCTGGCTCTGCATGGATGGCGCTGCCCTTCTAGGGGGTTTTTCCAGGTTCTGGCCATCCTCATGATTCACTTATCTCAGAAGTTACAGTCCCTGCAACACTGCCTTTGGTCAGCTTGGTGTAAAGGTGGAAAATCCATCAGCATGCACAACACAAAAACCAGGCAAAGTGTGGAAAGCCATGCCCAAGGAAGGTGCTCAAATCACTGCAACGTTGGCTGAATCTTTCTTAGATAAATTCACCTAAAAGTGCCTGGGGTGCCTCTTATTTCCACATCCTTCCAGCCTCCTTTTCCTCAAGCATCCTTAGCGTTAAGGGTGTCTGGAACACATCTCTTTGGCACTCACCGCAAGTGGAGAACACTCAATTCAGACCCCAAATTCACAAAGATTGGAAGCGATTCTCTATCATCTACGACACCCTACAGAGATGCCATTGCTGTGTGCTGATGGTCCCCAGCACAGCAGGAAGGGTGGTGAGGAGCTTTGGCACATGAGGCTGTTGCTCCTTTCGGGGATTGCTAGACATGATGTTAATTGTAAGGCACAAACCTAACTATGGGCAAGGACGAGGCACCAAAGACACCCTCGTTATGGGGCCAAGGCTGAATTCAAAGTGGGGTTTGCTGCAGGAGGATGGGTAAGTGGGAACAGAAAGTAGTGAGGAAGGATGGGGAAGGTCAGAAGAGAGACTGGGGGGCAGTGGGAGTGCAGGACCCCAGGTTAGGACCTCATCCCCTCTGGCATTCCTGCAGCTGAGAAAGGGCCCTCCCAGAGACTTTGCCCCCCAATGCACCCCTCCCAAACAAAGGTACTGGGCATGATTTTTCCAACCCAAGATTTACAAGTTTAACTTGCAGGCATTTTCTTTTGCACACAAGGCCAGGAGGGGATTTTCTTTACCATCACGCTTCCACTCATGGAGACACCCACAGGACCCCAGGAGCGGAGGAGCTGGGACTCACACCTCTCCGCAGATGCTGGCAGCAGCACAGAGCCATCACGCGGTGCGCAGACGGCCCCGGCGTCACACAACTGCCTGCCCCGGCCGGGGAGTGCAGTGCGGCGGCGGCGGGGACCCGCATGCCAGCCTGCTCCGAGCCGTGCTGGCCATCTGCTCCCGCCCGCCGCGGCTGGGGATGTGCCAAGCCGGCACGCCATCGCCGCGCTCCCCAGCTGCGCCCCTCGGCATGGCCACTGCTGCTCATGGGCACGGGGGCTTCCAGAGCCCACCCTCACCTCCTGCATCAACCTGCAGTGGGGCTGTCCCCATAGTGTCACCCCCAGGGTGAAGCCTGAACCTCATCATCTTCAGATAGATCAGATTTGGCCAAGCGCCGGCATTCGAGATGTTCCGTAACAAATGTCCTCTGTCCCAAATTTGCATTGTCCTAAGCGTGTAGGTCAAGAAATCTCCCGCATGACGGCTCTGCACAGACTGTATAGCATGGGGGGCACTGGCCCCCAGCTTCCCCCAAGGCCACTCCAACTTTTTGAGAAATGCCCCAAGGAGATACCGAGACCCGGCCCAACATCCTCAGTCTTTAATCCATCTCTCTGCAGGTTCTCGACCTCTTCACGAAAGATTAAGAAATGCAAAACATCTGGTTTATTAAATGATTCATCAATTTTGAGCGTCCAGCAAATCAGCCTCTTGCTTAAAACCGCCCTGCAACACTTTCCACGGGTGTATTTATAACTGAACGCATAGCTCGGCAGTCCCATGCTTGGCCATTAACCCTCCACAGCCTTGGAACGGATGGAGTGAGGACATGGAGGAAAATATCACACCTATTATTTTGGTACAATGCCCCAGTGTCAGGCAATATTGCATCTACTGCAATTCAGTAGAACATCCCAATGACAAAAAATACCGCATATATGGCTCTTTGATAAAACATCCCAGTGTCAAAAAATACCGCACCTATTGCTCTTCAGCAAAGCATTCCAACAGCCACCAACCCTTCTTTCAATTAAAAAACAACAAATCACAGCACGCCCCAAGGAGGATCCTTGCACCTATGGCTGAGGCCACGCTAATTCCCAGCCCACACGGAGCATTGGGTGCTGCTGCTGTTCCCAATTCATCAGCCCCAGCAGCTCGTCCAACACCATCGCCAACGACGCTCTGGCAATGGGGAAAGCCCAGCCAGAAGAGAACAGGCAGTTCGAGCAAAAAAATATATGATATATACATAATATATACAAGGCCACAGTGCTCCATGGGGCTCTGCCCTGTGTCTTTCATGTCCCCATTTTGCCTAGGCAGGAGCAGCCGCAACACAGCCGGGAAACACCCAGAGCAAGCACAACACCACCCGAGCGCATAAACAGTTATGACTATTTCCTTTTTCCACTCATTCTCATCCAACCCTATGGCACCGGGTACTCTGCTGGGTGAGAGGTACAGTGAAAGGGAATTTCTTTCGTGGCTGAGAGACATAGGAGGAGGATTTTGTGTTGCAGCCCCCAGCATGGGACGCGCAGCAGCAAAACATATGCGTGCTGTAAGCTGGAAGGAGTTTTCTTTTTTTTGCAGCAATATTTCACCCCTTTTCCCTCTACGTGCTTCAAGCAGAGGAACAGTTAGAGAAGAAAATGTGTAGTAAATTGCATTGGAAACCCAGGAGAACCAATAGCCGAATTTCTACAGCCAAGCAAGCAGCACACCCAATTTCTGCAAAATTTTTGTCTAAAACGCAGCACTCTCCTTTTCACCCCACGGCAGCTCATTCTTCCACTCTTCCGTAAACACTTGAAAACAAGGCCGTGCACACAAATTCTGCTTTCAATTTTCCTTGTATCCATAGCAATTAAATCAGCCCTGCAATACAGGACCGAGGGAACGGGAGGCAGGCACCAAGCAGGGCTGGTCCCAGCACTGAGCCGGAGAAGTTTTTCTCCTCTGGGACTGAAATCACAGCACTCCAATGTATGCCACTGCCATAGTGAGGAGCCTGGCCCGCATACGGCTGCCTTGGGAAACAACCAGCAACCAGCCCAGAGGCACATCTAGCAGCCCCAAAGCCAGCCAGGAGAACCATGAGGGTACAGAGGGATGTGCAGCCCAATGCTGAGTTCTGAAAGGCAAGGAGCCCCTGACCCCATGGCACAGATGTGGGGGGCCCCAGTGGGGCTCCCAGCAGAATATCATGGAGCAGCGGTGATAGCAGGAGCAGGATGAGGAAGAGAAAGCAGCTGCAGGAGAGGGAATCTCTGCAACTTTTTCCCTTTTCCCACTGGCTTTTCTTTATATATCTATCTATCTATCTCTCTCTCTATATACATACACACATATACATAATAAAAAAATTAAATACATATACATAAAAAATTCCCATCCTCATTCTTCATACACGCAGAGCCCCCCCAGCCCCACACTTTCCAAAGGAGACGCTTTGGACACCTACATCTGATTTCCTGCTCTGGTTCAGGGGAAGGCTCCGGCGCACGGCAGCAAGCACCAAGCCCAGCAGGACCCTGTGCCTGTCCTGTGCCTCGGCATCCCCATCCAAGTAGAGGGTGCCAACGTGTCACCTTGTCTGGAGGGCAGTGGGGAAACAGCCCCACGAGGAACGGGGGTTGGAGAGATTGTAACATCCCTTCTCCAGATGCTCAGAGGAAAATAACATGAAGAAAGGGGATTTTTTTCCCCCTTTTTCAGTGCTTTTTGCTCCACCGCTTTGCTCTCACCAACTCCCAACAAAAAGTTCCTAAATTCCCAAAGGCAACGAAACAACTCTAAAAAAGGGGAGAACCCCCCCAGGGAGGTGGGTGCTGCTGTGCTTTGAGGGAGAACCAAAACCAACCACACATCACAGCGATGCCAACACATTTGGGATGCAGTGAGCGGGGATGGAAGCAGGGGCCACCGAGTGCTTTGCGGGTGGGAACAGAGTGGGGGTAAAGGGAAAGGGACAAGGAAAAGACACTCACTTCTCATAGTCCAGCTTGCAGTAGAGCTTCTTGTCTCGGTAGAAGCAGGTGGTGTGCAGGGGCTCCTTGCACGACGTGCACTGCACGCAGCGCTCGTGCCACAGGCTGTCGTTGAGGCGCAGGAGAAAGCGGTCGGCGATGACCCGCTGGCACCCTTCGCACACGGAGCGGGGCGTCGCGGCTCTGCCTGCGGGATGGGGCCGGTGGCAGCGCCGGGCGGACGGGAACGGACCGAAGGAGCCGCCGCCGCCGCGTCCCCGCGGGTCGGAGAGGGGCTGGGGGTCCCGGGTGGGCCGCGGGGGAGGAGAGGAGAGTGCGAGGCGCTGCTCCCGGCTGCGGGGATGGGCCCGTGCTTTAGGGGAGCTCCGAAGGAGGGGGATCGGCCCCGATTTCGTTCCGTTTGGAAAGGCGGCGGTGGAGCCGCGGCTCAGAGAGATGGCGATTGTTTGGCAGCGGGGTGAAAACGAAGAAAAAAAATAAAGGGATGAAAGGAAAGCCTTCGTTTCGATTGGAGAGGGGGACACACGGTTTTGTGGAACCGAGGAACGAAGCGGTCGCCGGGGGCTCTTCGCGGCCGAGGGCAGCGGCGCCGGGCCGGGGCGAACCGGGAACGGAGCAGCCCCACGGACTCCCCTCTACCGAGATCCTCCCACCGTGCTTCAGCTCCCAGGGCTCCCCGACTTACCCAGCAGAGAGGAAAAGGGGGCGGCGGGGTCCAGGGCGTTCTGCAAAGTCTCCTCCATCTTCAAGCCGTCCAGCATGGTGAGGAGCCGGGCCGGGCGAGGGGCCGCACCGCCCGCCTGCAAACACAGCCCGGACACGCGGCGCTCAGCTACAGCAGCCCCGGGGCACCTCGCTTCCCCGAACCCTCCTCCCGCGTCCTCCCCACCATCGCCGAGGTTTGGGGTTCTGAGGACGCGGAGCCGCCGTCGGGGGTTCGCCCGCTTACCTTGGGCGGCTCCGGTGGGGAGGCCTCGGGGATGGAGGGGGGGGCAGCCCCACGCCTTCAGCCACCGCCCCGGGGTTGCTCGGCCGCGGCCCCCGGCGGCCCCGCGCTCCCCGAGGTTTGGGGCTGCGAACCGGGGGGAGCCGCCGAGCCCCGGGCGGCTGCGGAGAGAAACGCGGCGACCTGCGGGGAAGCGCCCGTCCGACTGCTGCCAAGACACATTTCCCGGAGCTGATACCTCCCTGCCCGACCCCCACCCCCTACCCTCCCCTCTCCACCCCACTCGAAAGAAGTTTCCTCCCCGCTCTCCTGTCCGCCCGCCCGCAGCAGCGGCCCCGCCACGCCTCGAGGGGCCGGAGCGCTGCCCGGCTGCGGGGGGCACGAACGGACGGCCCCAGCCCCTCCCCGGCTACGTGCGAGCTTTCGAAGAAAGCAACCCCAAAAGAAGAAAAGACAAAAAAAAAAAAAAAAAAAGAAAGAAAAAAAGAAAAAAAAAAAAAGAAAAGTGGTAATAATAATAGAGTAGAGGGCGGTGCGGCTCTCCCGGTAGTGAGAGAGGCTGAAATCTGCTCCTCGTTGGCGGAGAAGCTCTAGATGAGGGTTTGGGGAAGTGGCCGGGGCAGCGCTTAAGGCAAACGAACGACAGAAGGGAGGGAGAGAGGAATCTCACGGGCAGAGGGATGCTCCGGACACCGCATCGACAGAGCTCCGGGTTCGGGAAGGGGAACCCCCCGGGGGGTGGAGGTCCCACCAGGGACGGGAAGCCGAAATTCAGAGCCTTCCCGCTGCCACGGCGCTGTCCCATCGCTGAGCCCATCCCTGTCGCCACCCTGGGGAAGCTGCGGAGCTGCCATGAGTTTGTGAAGTTTTTAGGGGACCCGCAACTCCTGTGGCCGCTGGTGAGCTTAGCAGTAGGACATCCTCATCACCAGTAGGTCCTCGTGTGATGTGGGTAACAAAGTCACATCCTCAGGGAGCTGGAGACAAGGAAAGGCCACAGGTGAGCACAAGTGGCTCAGCGCCCTGCCAGCATCCCCTGGGGTACTGGGACAGAACCAGTGCATCCCAGCACACCGTGGTACAAAGGCACTGGTACCACATACAGGTCAGCAGGAAGCAGCTGTGAGCTGAGCAGCAGCAGAGCAGTGCTAGGCTCTGACACATCCACCTTTGTCTCTCCAGAAGGTCTCAGAGCAGCTCCCACCAACTCTACAATTAGCCATATGCCATCAGGCTCCAGGTGCCACTCCTCAACCTGCGCAGCCACCCTGCAGGGCTCAGCCCCCTGTCCTTCCATGTCAGAAAAAAAGGAAAGAAGCTGCCCTCCAAATATTGTCATACTACAGCTTTACCCTTCCCCATCTCCAAGTGAGGAGAGCACTGGGTGCTGCTGTGCCATGCAGCTCCTGTGCACAGCTGCCAGCTCAGTCACTATGGGATCAGCCCAGCAGGTATCACCAGAGGTCTGCAGTAGGGTCTCACTACGCTTTGCACAGCTCCACCTGTGATCCCTTCCCCCTCTTCCAGGACAAAAACCCAGCACAGAGGCAGAGACGTGTGGGCACAACAAAACTGGCTTCGTTCCCCCTCCCTCTCCCTTCAGAGAGCAGAAAGCCAGATTGTAAGCATCCCATGTTGCAAGCTGCCCTTATTCCAAGGGACACGAAGGGTGCTGCTTTGGGCTTAGTGAAAGCAGCTCCCCATACCTTATGCAAAGAGTGGTAACCAGGTGGAGCAGTAAAACATAAAAGATAAATGCTCCGCCCCTCTCCTCCCCCTCACTGATAGCATTCAAAGCATCACCTGGCAATTCTCCTCCCACACACACCCTCACCTCCAGCAGTGTCCCTATAGCAGATGGAGTACTGCAGCCAGCTCACTGCATCCCATAAGGGCCAGGGGGTGGGTGGCTGAAGTCACCCAGGGTCTGCAGGATGAAACCTTGGCTTTCCATATTCAGCACAGAACCCAGAGCTGAACTGAATGCAAACCAGCTCAGGCCTTCGTGGCTTAGGCTCTGTTTACCTTTATTTTCAAGGCAGAACTGCTGTTTCCCAGTTTTGCTCAATTTCAGCAGCAAATGAAGAAGCTGCATCAGAACCAAAGCAGACAGGGCAGGAAAACCCTCTGGCTTCATTACTGGGTGAGAAACAAACCCAGCTTAGACAAAGTAATGGAATGGAGGCACGGTTTGTTTTCCTTTCCATGTGTCATCACTGTGAGTGGCTCAACCCACTATTTTTTTTAACTCCTCCTCCATGGAACACAACAGAGTGAGCAGATGAGAATTAATCAATGCTTTGAAATGTTTGGCACATGCACTAAAACAAAGCTCACCCATGGTGCAGGGGGATGCTGCTAACTCTGAAAACTCATGGGATGCAGTGTGCAGTGGGAAAGAGAATGCAATGCTTTGCCTTGCATCTGCCATTGCCAGAGCACAGCTCATTTTGGAAAAGGAAAAAAAATATCAGAGCTTAATTAGAGACTGCATGGAAACAGTGATTGGTGATTCAAAGTGGTGGCTGGGATTTGGGAAGAGCAAAATTTGCAGGAGATAGGAGCCAGGTGAGCAGGCAGAGAAGGCCTCGTTATGTTGATTCCTTGTGCCTGGGCTTTGAGGGCACCACTGCACACACGTGCAAGGACAAACAGCCACGTTTAAGGGGCTCAAGTGTTGGTCTTCCTCCATTTTTGAGTTCTTTGATGTGCCGTTTTAAAGCTACACAAGCTGGGGGTCAGTGTTAGTGAAAAGGAGGAAGTTTTCTTTGACTTACCTGTGGTGGTGTTTGTTACTACTTTACATCAACTAGTTTTTTGCAGGGCTTCAGATTTGGTAGGCTCCAGCCATGCCACACTGATGTCCTTCTGCAGGAATTTGAGGTCCACCAATCTTGATGCAGATTGCCAAGAGCACGGGTGCTCAGGAGCCACAGTCACTCTGAGACTTTCTGCCCCATCCCCTATAACCTCCACCTTCAAAAGGCGCTGTTCACACTGCAGGCAGCAATCTGGATTTCCTCACAGACAGTGGACCAAGCTCAGCATGAGGCCAGCCAAGATAAATAGCCCAGACTATATAGACTTGGCAAGCTGTGAAGCCCTCTCTGGTATCATGTGCAGCCCAAATTCCTTATTATAGAGTGGCTTATGTGTGAGGGGACCTCAAAGATCATCCTGCCTCGACCCCCTGCTGTGAGCAAGGTTGCCCCCCCAGCAGCTCAGGCTGCTCAGGGCCCATCCATGGCCTGAAGCACCTGAAGGGATGGGGCACCCACAGCTCTGGGCAGCACTGCCAACTCCTCACCTCTCCGAGCAAAGAATTTCTTCCTGTCATCTCATTCTATTCTCCTGCTCTTTTGGTTCTCTCTCCTCTTCGCAGCAAAATCCCAGAGAACTAATCACATCCCTGTGTGGGAGCTTTATCAAACTGTTTGCTTTGCATCCCTCTTTCTTCCCCTCCATCCCTCCCTCTTTCCCCTGATGCTCCCCATGCTGCAGCGTGGCAATCTGTCAGGCGGACAGACGCAGCCCTGCTGCAGCTCAGCGCACCGCAATGCGCGGGTCAGAGGGGGCAGATCACTTAACACTACACCTGTTTTATGAATAATAGTGCAAGGCAGCTTTGCTGGGTTCCTGGGAGGGCATTTTCCCACCAGGATAAACCCTAAACAAATTCACGTCTTTAACTCGTTTGGCTCTGGTTAGCTCTGGTGATGGGCAGGTCTGGCAGTGCCATGCAGGCTGGGGGAAGCGCAGCTGGAGTTTGGGAGATGTTTGTGCACTGTAAGCTTTGCTTAAGGATGAGTGTGATATAGATTCGGGTTTGAATAGCAAGTTTTAAGTGTGAAAGGTAGAAAAACCAAAGAAACCAGGAAACAAAACCTTGTGAACAGGATCCATCCAATCTTAGAAATATAAAACCTAAGCTAATGTAACAAACTCCAAAACACCATGGTTTGTAAACAAGCCTGCTGCTCTCTAAGAGCAGCCAAAGTCAGATTTCTGAGCCTGTTCGAAATGTTGTCCACCTCTCCACCCCAACCATAACACTCCTGGGTAACTTCTCCCTTCAGCTGCCATGCCACATCCCTGTGGTCCCTGCATCCCATGAAGCATCCAGCACTGCCTCCCCAGCACACATGGATGTGTGACCCATGGATGGAATGAGAGCTGCAGGCCTTGCAGGGATGGGGACCAGCTCAGGACAGGAAAAAGACATGAACGAAGTCACTTTAAATTTGAGATAATTAAAAAATATATATCCAAAGAGTTCTTTGCATGATGTCAAAACAAATTATTTTTGATTCAAAACAGCTCTTTGCTTAGCAGGAGCAAGAAGCAACGCTATGTGGCATCCTGGTGGAAGACTTCTATCAACAGAGGCAGCAATACCCCCAAGTGATGTTTCTGCCCCAGTCCAGAACCATAACCACAGCAAAGCAGGACTCTGCCCTGCAGGCTCCAACCAGCACCTCTCATATATTTTTTGTTGTTGTTGTTGGCTTTTATTAAGAGTGAAAAAATAATTTAAAGCAATTATCTGTACAGGGAGGTGTGTGGTTAGCTGGGCAGAGGGTCAACAACCCCACCAGGGAGGGTTAAAGGGGACCGATTTACAGCTGTACAAAGACACAACAATCCCACCAAAGAGGAGCAGAGGGTGGAAGGCAGCTCTTGCAGCCCGGAGAGGAGGAGTGGGAGCTGTATGGGGATATGGTGGGGGGGACCGGACCCTCAAGTGACCTGCAGGGGTGTTTCCAGCATCTCCATGAGGAAGGTGTCGATGGGGGTGTCCCCGATCAGCTTGAAGAAGAAAAGGTGCTCCAGGCACTTCAGTCCGATGG